GGCCCGGCGGGGAGGGGAGGGGAGGGGAGGGTCGGGGGTGGCGAAACCCGGGGCGCGGCGGGTCCGCCTCTTCCATTGATGAAATTTAAATTGCTCGGGGTTCGCCGCCCGCCCGCCGGCCCGGGAGGGACTGCTCGGCGGAGGGGCAGCGCGGCGGGCGGGCGGGAGCTCCCAGCGAGGCCGGGGTCGCCGCCTCTCCCGCCGCAGCCTCCGCAGGGGCGGCAGCCGCGCTCCGGCCCTTCGCTGCCCGCCGCGGGGCGGAACCCCCCGAGCGCGGCGCTCCGTGTTGACCCAAGTGCTTGTTTATTTATTAAAGCGCGAAAATGTCGGCTCTCCTGAAAGGTAAGCTGACGCGCTTTGTTTTTCTCGGCCTCTCCGCCGCCCGTGCGCGGGGCTGCGCTGTGCTTTGGGTCCGCGCTGCCGGGGGCAGCCGCCGGCTGCCGTGTGCCCGGGCTGCCCCGGAGCCCCGTCCGTGATCCGGCGGCGGGGCCGGCCCGGCCCGGCTCGGTTCGGTTCGGTTCGGGCGGCGGGGCTGCGCCCAGGGCTGTGCGCGGCCAGGGGCTGGGGGATCCTGCGGGACCTCGCCAGCAAATCTCCCCTGTCCGCTAAACCGCCTAGTAAAGTTGCGGGAGGATGAGTGCCAGGGTTGAACATCTTCGCTTTTTTCCTCTTTTTTCTTTATTTTCCTTTTAAAAAATTTATTTATTTATATTTTCCTGAGGCTTGAGTGTGTTTTTGGCGTTTTTTGATCCCGGTAGGCTCCGGCGCTCTCCTTTACTCCTCTCCGCGTGTGTTAGCGTTTGTGTGTACGTGGTCTGAGTTTTGGATTCCCTGTGAAACAGGGAACCAGCCCGCAAGAGGTCATTTGGGGAAGAAAAATTACTTTGGTGCATTGCCGTTGCAGTTTTCCTTCCCTGTTTTCCTATATTCCTCGTGGTGCGGGTGTGCTTTTTTTGTAATGAAATACATGCCTATAGGGTTCCTTAATATAAATTCACGCAGGCCTATCAACAGATGGAATGCTGCCTGCTGAAGGAGCACGAGTAGGTCGTTTGCTATACAAACTTGGGTGTTGCAGGCAACTGAGAGCCTTGGCAGGCTCTGGGAAATCACTGTCCATCACACACTGGTTGTCCAGGGCTAGACAATGCTGGCTGTGTGAAGGCATCACTTGTCTACAAATGCCCTGTGACACCTGGGCAGAAAACAGACAGCTGGAGGAAGAAAGTGTTGCCAGCAGGTTGCTCAACCGGCCACTCTGAAAGTTATCAAGATAAGTCCTTGTGAAGTTGATTAGGAAAATATATTGCTAATTGTTCTTTTTAAATGGAATTGGCTTATCTCGGACTACTGCTGAAGGTAGCCATCTTGCAGAGAAGTGCTGTTATTTCTGAAACAGAAAGCTGTAGAAACCTATGTAATGATCATAATTAGTTTTTAAAATATTACCAGATATTTGACAATCCTGAAAGCCTTAAAAAAACCCCCAAAACTGTCCACTGTTTAGATACTCTTTTGTCAGACCAGTAGTACTAAAACATGTTGTCCTGTCAGGTAGTATTTTTAGCATGAGGATCATCTGCTAAACTGGGAAATTCAGATGTAACACGTAAATTCTTGGTGTGTGCAGCTGGCAGGAGCAGCTTCCTAGGTTGCAAATTTCTGAGTTAGCTCAAGCTAATGTGCTCATCTGTCAAGAAGAGTCAGGGCATAAAGGTTTCACTTCACGTATGCTTCCGTCCAGCATGTGTTGGCAAATTTTGCCTCTAGTAGTAGGAAAAGGTTTGTAGAGCCTGAGTGGGTATGTTCAGTTCTAAAATTCAAAGTAGTATTTGTTAGCATTGCACATTATAGTGTGGGTATTTAAAGAGACAGACTTTTATCCCTGCCAGAGATAAAAATTGCCTTGAACTTTAAGCGGAATCATTGGAAGTTAAGGCATTCACTCTGTATCCTGAGCACAGAGTTCAAGGGTAGAGCATTTAAAGTTTAGCTGAGTGTTGTAACTTACTGGCCACCCTTCTTGGTTTTTATGCATTACTCCGGCTCCAGGGAGACCTCAGTGATTTTCTGCTGTAGGTCTTTCTGTATACTTACTTGGATTGCAGAAGTAATCACAATTCATAGCCCTCAGCCCAAGAGATTTCCCACTTTTTCATGAGAGAAGTTCTTGCTTGACTTGTCCCACAACTCCCTCCAGTGCTGCCTCCTTGTGCACATAGTACCAAGGCAGTAGTTCTTTTCTGAGTGGATTAATGAACAAAATTAATCCATCTTAACATGTTCTCTGCTTTTAATGTAGAATAAGAGGACGGCCAGCAGAAAGGAAATATGTGCAAGCCCCTCAGTAAGAGGTGATCACTCTTCTGCTCTTGTGCAGTTTTCCTGAGGAGATCTGCCCTTTGTATTGTTTCTGGTAGTGTACAAAGTCCTCCTTTCTGTTAGCTTGCTCTGATATACCATGATTTGTTTTTTCACATGTCAGTTATAAAATTAGGCATCATAAACCTGCCAGTTCTCTTCTGTGTGCTGTAGCTTGTGCTGTGAGGGCAGGGGCCAGGTTAGCAGTCAGAGCAGAGCACAAAAGCCTGCTAGAAATAACAGTGGGTGGGGGCAGGAGGGTTGGGGTGAAATTCTCCATGCATCAAACACCACCATGAACTTGACTGAAGTGCAGCCCTGTCTCTGCTGCTTGGGGGAACACTTTCTGCCAAAGGCATTAACGTGAGATATCCTGTGTGGTTGCTTTTGTAAAGCCGGGCGTTCTCCGAAGTCTCAGCTATGTGGTCATGCTCTTCTGGTCTGTGCTCATTTCCTGCGTGGGCAGGACCCCCAAGAGTCTTCCACTATCTTATCCCACCCTTTTCTTAAGTCTGATGAGTGTTCAAATACACTGCTTTCATAAAAGTGGGCTTAGGCTGAAATATGAGGCATTGGTTGCGAAATAGCTTGGAAGAGGCATTTCTTTTTTAACATAATTTGGGATTTTATGGCCACGTGTATTCTTGGAAATCCCTTCCTGTGACTATCCAGCACCCCAGCCTCCCATCTGATTTTTAGAGGCACAGTAACTACTTTTCATTATGTCCTTAGGGAATTTTAGCCTGCAGGGAAGAACTGCTTTCCGATATGTAGTTGCACTGGCCTTTCAACTTCCTTGTTGCTGCTGGGTGGAAAGGGAAATCAGTCTTCACCCAGGCTGTTAAATTCAGCTGTAGTTTGTGTTGAAGAACTGCAGTTGTCTTTCTGCCAGCCGAAGGCTGAGGTGTGTGAGTAATACCAGCTCCTTCCCAAAAACTGAGGGGCAGCAGGAACAACAAGAGCCACATTCACTCGTGTCATGCACCAATACTGCATTGGGGAGCCTTTACAGAGCGCAGCCCAATTCCTGGTGGTCATTTCCAAGATAAATGCTCAAAGCCTCTGCCTCGCAGTGGTGTGGTAGGAGTAGCAGAGCTGTCGCTTGCTGTTTCTCTCAGCTCTTAGTTACAGTATTCAGATTCTTGCCTATGCAGAATAGATACTTTTCTCACACCAGGCAAGCACGTGTTTTTGTGGACTCCAGCCATATCCTTCCTCTCTCTTTCCCTGTAATAATAATAATTGGGCTAACAGCACTAGCCATGCTCTGCCTGGGCAGCTGCGTCCTGACACATTGGGTCTGGGTGAGGCTGAGGGGTCGCAGTAGGTGATGAATGTTAAATGCAAAGCCTAAATACCCCTCACTGCTGCTGAAGGGTATGGCAGTGGCAGCTTTGGCAGGCTGGGGTTCAGTAAGAGCTATCCCATCCAGCTGCTGCTCTGTGTGCCTGGTGCCTGGTATTGGGAAAAGCAGCAGGTCTGCTTTGCTTTCCTGCGAGGATTTTGGGGATCAAACGTGTTTGGTGTTTGCTCATTCAGTTTGTGAAGAACTTAGAATATTCCAGAAAAAAAAAGACCCTTAAACTAGGGCATTGTCCCATGCTTACTTTTATGATGCCTTTTTATCTC